AAAAAAAAAAAGGTCCTCACTTTTGAAAATCGATTCTATCTAGTGTAAAACAGTCAAAATTCCACAATGGGGGTCTAAAATTTTGCCAATGGGTGTCAAAAAACAAGTGAAGACCTAAAAAAAAAAAAAAGGTCCTCACTTTTGAAAATCGATTATATCTAGTGTCGAATTTTCCAAATAGCTGGGGGGGTCCACATTTTGGAATCCTAGAGGGGGGGTAAAACCGGAATACCCCCCCCTTGCACACGTCTGTGTCTGCCTCAGAATAGGCCACATATTGTGATAGCATATTTCAACAAGAACAAAACAATGGCAAACGACACAAAGGTGCAACCATATCTTGAGCATACACCTCGTATAAGAACCAAATTTTCTTGTGGCGCCATCTAGATGGCTTGCGGGGCGCAATGTATTTTAAATTGTTAGCTAAGTTTTTTCAGCTTAGTACAGAACCATTTTTGGCAAAGATACAAAAGCATGCTCGAGGTATGGGTGCAACGCACAAGCGCATCTCTTCTTCAAAGAAATCCGTATTAATTATTATATTTTCGGATGATCCGCCTGTCTGTTTGGCAGCACGCGTGTCGCGTATATTTTGTATACAAATTTTAAAATAGATTATTTATTCCCTGTCGCCTGACTATTTATATATTTAAAAAAAAATGACAACAACAACATCCAAAAATATTTTTATCCAATTTCATTTATTTTTGCATATAAATATGATTCCAGATTGGCGTTTTTGTGATGTTGCACCGCTTGGTGGATGCGTCTGCGAAACAGGATGTTCAACATTTTTTCTGTTGATATTCTGTTTCAAGTTTCCACTATTTTTGTTTTTGTTGTTTTTTTTTTTAATTCACGATTTTGTGTTTACCTCGTTCATTGATGGGAAAATTCGTAGAAAGTCAAAGAATTCGTGTACTGTTTCGAATAAAGCGGTTGCAATTTTATGGAGGGACAAAGACAGAGACAGACACAGAGAGAAAGATAGATAGATAGAGAAAGGAAAGGAAAGAGAGGGGAATAAAGGGCAAGAGCGTGAAAAATCTCTTCGTGATTAAATGATGGGAATGACTAACAACCGTTCCAATAATTGCGTCGCAATTCACAGATGATCTTTATCCGATCAATTACGGTTCTTCTTCACAAAAGAAGTTCAAATGCGAAGGCGAAAGAACGTTCTATCACAAGCTGATTAATGAAATAATATTCAATAATTATAGATTGTCTCAAATAACGGACGATCTGCTTATCGGCTTGCAAGATGAACTCCAATCCAAATCAGACAAAAGCATGTACTTAAAAGCATGTAAATAAATCTTAAATTGAAAATGAAACAAAGAAGACGTAAACTGTTATCTAGACACATTTAAAATTAGCAACAAAACAACGACGACGCATCGGCATTATTGGAAAGAAGCAAAGCAAAAAAAAAGATGAAAAATGCTGAACATTTCCATTATCATATGAAATTATCAGTTGCGCGTGTGGCATTCGTCTATAGATTGTCTAATTATCCAATGCGTAATTTTAGCCGTTTTCCGTTCAAGTATCCGCCCAAGAATCGTTCCAATCTTTTCGTGTGTAAAAATACACACATTTTTATTGAGTATCTAATTTGAATCCAATAATAGCGTGTACGTACATGAAATATGAAAAACCGGAGAGCTCGGGTTTTTTTTATCTCTCTCTCCTACACGCCGAAGGCAGTCCAATAGAAGGGGCTGAAAAATGCGGCGCACTTGATGGGCATCAAAAATATATTGGTATACGAAAATGGTTTTGAGCATTCCAAATGGCGCATCATAAACTTGTATATACACACAACAATTTATAATTATCCGCGCGTTGTGGTATTCATATTATATTTAGGCATTTCTGTGCTAATGCGAAGAAGCGAAGCCTAAATGCTTTTCATTCTCTCTTTCTCTCCTTCACTCTCTCTCTCTCTCACTCGCGAACCAAAATATAAAATAGATTCGTCGGTGTATTTTTAGCGGGTCGCGTTTAATGCGACTGACAGAAATTCGGGTTTTAACGATTGCTGAACAATTTAAAAATAAATGCGTTCAGTTTATTAATAGCTCAATTGAACTATGTCTTGTCCTTTTCACGCTCTCGCTATGTGCATGCCGTTAGCGCGGAATTTGTTTTAAAACTCATTTTCACGGCGTGGATGGTTTTCGGCCTGCAGTCTAGCTACTGGTCTCACCTCGAATTGTTCCATGCCAACGCGAACAATTTATGTTGTGTGTGCAATGTGCATCACACATTTTTTTATGCGAACAATATGTTTTGTTTGGCTTGATTACCACAGCTCGTCGTACATTTTTGACGAAATGAAGCGCTGAATTCATTTCATTTCAAGTTTTAAAAGATGTCATTCACATTTTATTTTGTAGCTTGGATTTGTTTAGTGTCGTTTTGATTACAATAATATGAATAATTTTTTTCCCATATGAGATTGATCTTTTTTTAATGGCAAATGTTGATTTTGATTTAAGACACAATCTTTATTTTTGAATGCAAAATGACGAAATCTAATTCGTCTTCTTCGACGAGAACCGGTATAAGATCTACCCTCAAACGCACCACTTCGATCGATTAAATGCATGACAACACAAAAAGTGAACGTTGAATGTGTCCATATTTCGTAGTTTGCTGTGAATTTACAGAAATATATCGCATTAAGTTTTCTTTAGCGATTAAATGTAGTACCATGGTAGTCAATCATATTGAGACCGAAAATCTGAACAAAAATATCTGTTTGTTGTTGTTCGTTCGTTCGCTCGTTAGGCTTATCAAATTCATTGTCAGCTTGCCCGTGCTGAATTGAAACTAATTCAATTGGTTTACGGCAAACGCGGCACGTGTATCATTTGAAATTGTAAAACACATACACATACACATGCACAAACCATACATTGGCATATTCGTTGCTACGCAGTTCTCGTTTAAGCCGCCAATCGTCGTTGGATAGGCGTGATACAAAGTACGGGATGTACTACAGTACTGTACACAGTGAAGAGAAGAAATATAGCAAAAGCGAAAGGCACATTTAATAAATTAACATGAAATGTACGGTGAACATGAGTTCAAAAGGGAAAAGTAAAAGTTTTTTTTTTCTTCACCAAAAGAAAATCACTTTAACCGGCCTATCGATCGTACAAACAATTGAATACGGTCGGCTTCCGGGCACAAAATTAGCGAAAAAGAAACTATTTAAGTTGTGAGTGTGTGTATGTGTGTGCGAAAACTATAAATAAAAATCGTACGTTCACGCTGATTGATGCGAGAAAAAAAAAACGTGGCTGGCAGAAGCAGTCATTTTGATGGATTAGTCTTAAATCGATGACCACCATCGACACTTTCGAAGGGCCCTTGTTCGTTTTCGAACTAGACACATTTCACTTCTTTTTTTTCTGCACACATCCAACATGTACACGTGCCACCATTTACGCCAAAGCTTCATTTCCACTATATTCGCACTATAAAGAAAGCTCCACGTGAAAAAAATGTGTGTGTGTTTTTTTCTCGTGCTGATTGACTTATTTCTGAATGGCTATTATTGGAGCCGAAATTGCACATTAAAAATATTGTTGCAAGAGGTCGTGTGCTAAACATCGCATGCACAACGATATAAATCTTAGATTAAATTGATGATTCAGTGTTTCTATGAAATGAAAAAAAAAAGAAAATGCTTCTAGACTCAATGTAATAGTTTGTGAACGGAGGAACAAACAAACCCTATCGCCTAAAATCTGTATTCGCGATTATAAATATTCGGAATTGAGCGTAATAAAAGTGTCATAAAAGGCGATCATACGCACCATTGGTCTATTCGCGTTCTTTTTTTTCGCTCCTTTGTATTCCCCCTCCACCTATCTCTTGTTCGGTCATATAGTTTGACCCGACGGAACACTCCGAAAGAAAATTGGTGCCGCTTGATAACGAGAAAGAGGGAAAAAAACGTTTCGTTTGCCACGTCATCATATCAACTGAACGATTGTAATGTAAAACGCGGAAACTTTTTATAGACAATTGGACAGGACAATTTGACACCGAATAAAATTTCGTTGGCCCATTTGAATAAAAGATGATATGCGCTCATATTCATTCCGAAAACAACCGACGAAATATGAGTCAAAATATATGAATTGTATGTGGGGCTTGTTTACGCACTCAAACTCCATACACTTGAACTGAATATGACGATACTTCATTTTATGCGCGATGAGAGCAGCTTTATCGCTTGTTTTTGTTTACAACCGACCACGTTAACCAACTAACTAACAAGACAATACTCGCGTAAAAGCACGCACGCCAGCGGATTAGATAAACAACCAATTGGATATACGCATTCCATATGCTCACAAACAAACTGAGCAATTTATAACGTTTCCATTTACAAAATGCAATTTATTTAAAGTTACACTTTTTTCTACGTTCAATTGGTCAAGTTTTGGCTGGGATAGTACATGCCATTTGAAAATACATTTATTTTTTGTTCATGCAACGGGTTTGCAATTGCTTATGTTTGCCAAACCTGGCAATTTTAACACATTTGATTCGGGTTTTCAACCACGATTCTGAATAATAGCGTGAATGGACTTGAACACTGCAATTGCATTGTGATTTTTATTTTCTGCTTTATTGAAAACATTTATTTTTAGACTCGGCTTTAACGGTTATTGTTAATGTGCGCAAATTTTTTCGGTAAATATACTCAAACCCAGGCAAAAACCTGTGAACAATATGTCTGATTATGTTTTTTTCCACGGCATACGTGCAAATTGACTACCAAATTTGATGCCATTTAAATAAACAAAACCGAACGACAAAAAAAGGCTACCGACGAAATTCAACTCCTATGCGGACCAAACAAATTCGTGCCTTCAGACTTAAATCACTAATATTTATAGAAACGTAAAAAAAAATTGATTGTGACTTCTTCATAGAAACTTATAAATAAACAATTTGGTGGCGTTCTCTATCTCTCTTTCTCTCTTTTGTGCCTCTTAGGCACACGAAACATCATAATTTATAATACAATAAACATCGTTCGATATACATATGTATTTCATTCCATGAAACCGTTCACATTTTATGAACGGTGTAAAAAGTGTCGTATTTTTAGTTCCGTTAATGTCAAAATAATTGCCATCACAACATTGTACATGCATGAGTATGAGTATGAGCGACATTTCGACACAGTAATGACAAACGATTTGAAAGATTCAATAAATGTGGTTTCTTTTGTGAGTTTTTTTCTCTGTTCATTCACTTTAAACCGTGTGACCAGAACAACATGATACGCTGCTTTTTCTCTCCCTCTCTGTTCCTCCACTATTGAAAAGACATTTTTGTCGCTCTCCGCAATACTGTATTTTTATGGTTGGACATTGTTGAAGGGAATCTATTGTTAATTGGTGCGCGCGAGTAAGCGGTTTATGAAAATGGAAATGTAGCATATCATGCTTCAATCACACTTGCACACACACACACACAAAAGCAATGCCTAAGGCTTTCATGACAATTAACTTATTTTTAAAACACCCCATCGATTATTCAGTGGCCATAGTGAAATATTCACGCTAAAACAGAAACAGAAACTATAAATCAAAATAATTAGGCAGGAAAAAACATATCGAAACATAACTTTCGCCCATCCAACCCTCCGTCAGAAAATCGAATTACCTTTAAAAATAGTGTGCGACTATCGCAATCGACGACGACGTAGAATGAAATAACAACACACTTGGATCGTTGATTCGTTGATAGACGGGACGGTCAACGCTAAGAACGTTAACAAAAACGTAACGTTATAACATTGCGCCAGAAACAAAATCCAATTCATGTGTTTCGATGGTGCTGTGAGCCAATTGGATGTATGTTTTGTTGTAGTTGAAACGACTCTTACAATTCGGTTACGTTCAAAGTTAGTTTTGGTATCGTGACGAAACGCAGCCGAATAAGAAAAAAAAACATATCGAGTAGCGTCCTTCGATCCAAACCGAAAAAAAACGATGTGAAAAGTTATGTTATCTACGAGTGTTTGTCGACAAAGAGGGAGAAAAAAAGCACTCATTCTCAGCGACAACGATGACAATAGACATCGGTTAATTATTCATGTATAATGCCGTGTGTATCGTTCAACATTCACAATTTCGGACGCGATTCTTGTATACAATCACACAATCATTTGTTTCTCTTTTCTTCTCTTTCCCTACTATTTACGATGACTGTGCTTAAAATTCAAGTGCGACTTTCAATGTGTTGCCGGGTGCTTGAAATGTTTATAATTTCGCGAGTTCCGAAAAATCAAATAGAAAGAGACAAAGAGTGAGTAGAGAGACAAGTGCAGGCATTGGTTGCGAAAGAGAGTTAGATAGAAAAAGTGTGTGGTTGTCGAACTTCGACTTTCAACGAAGTCGAAAATTTGATTGAAAGTGTACGGCTGACGGATATGTGTACTAATTAAAATGTATAAAAAGATCACAATTGTCACAGTCAAGGTTTTTCGCTATAGCAGCGGTGTCGCGCAAACAAAACACACACAACCACACGCAGTACTACATTCTAAATATATATTTTCCACTTGGCAAATTTCATGAGATGCGGAGCTTTTTACGTCACATCTCTCGAATCTCGTCATCGCGATACGACGATCGAGACTTATTATATAGACTACTCATATTCTTCGTATGCTAGACTGTATTTACTTGTCTGCTTTTTTCTCTTCGGAAAATTCTTCATGCGAACAGCTTATCACACATTTAGTTACATGTCGTTTGCACATTGCAATACGTGCACTCCACTACGTAATAACAATGGATGTGTGGGTGGGATCCATTGAGTTTTGTTTTTTTTTTTGCGCTGTCACAAATTCAATTCACCTGAATCCATTGAGAGAACCGCTTTTGCGTAGGCAATTTTGAATACGCACAGAATACTAATAAAAATAGACCAGAACGAAAACAAAAGAGGAAGCGAAAAAAAAAACATACGGCACAACAAACGCACTGACGATGCTATGGAAATACCGTTTCCAAGTAGATTACGTCAAACACAAACCAACAACCCTTCTTTGAGCTAGCATTTCTTTAGAGACAATTGTCAATTTGACGAGTCAGGTGTCATTTGCAAAACTTGTGATAAGCACCATTATGTGCAAATTCATCGTTAAATCCCCTTCGCGCTCTCTCACAGTCGAAAATATTATCAGTGGCTTCTCGATTTATGTTTTCATTCCATCAGTATTATTTTTCTCTTCTCAATTTCGACTGAATGAATGATATTAGAATTTTTGAAATTGATTGCGATAATATTTTTTCCTCAAATGTTTGACTTTCTCTTACAGAAATGGCTCGTGATTCAGCGGTTGGAAGAGAGCGTATTCTGGTTGTACCGAGCAGCCTGGCGCTTGACAACTCAACAACCAATCAACATGCCACCAGTGCACAAAACGATCTCAATCAACAAATTCTTGAGGTGAGTCAATTGCTTTTTTTTGTAGACCGTACCCGGACAACAGTTCGGTTGTCTATTTATACCTTGTCCTGAAAGTGAACAGTGTTCAATATGTACGTTATCTCTGATCTAGAAATATTTATCAAGTGGTCACCTCAATGTCGCCACGCTCAATAATGTGATGAATCACAGCGATTCCGGCGACCGTTTCGTAATATCAAGCAGAACAATATGAGGAGAGGGGGAGTATTAAACACACATACTCAATACAAAATAATGCTATTTCGGAACACACGCGACGCTCAACGAAACCGGAAAATAGATTGATAGATTTGACATGGAATTATATAAATCGTAGCAATTTCAAGATGATTTGTTTTAGTGCGGTAAAGAGCCGACACAGTATACACTAGACAGATGATATATGCTCATTTTTATCATTAAAACTAATCACCGTTTGAATGCGGCCTATAATTTTACAGCCAGTCTATTTTGTCATTTGCTCGCATAGATTTTCTGGTGTTTTTGAATGGCGATGATCGTACACAATGACGCAAAACTTGCAAGCAAATGATGTTTAATTATATAAACCGTGCTTCTGGCATCATATTCACAAAAATCCGTTCACAAAAATAGAATAATTTCTTAGGAAAAAATCATGAGTCAACGCGAAAACTCAAACCATTTTTCTTTCCCTCGAATAAAAAATTAAAATTAAATTTATGGTTCTTTTATTTCACATCTCATCGAGCGAAAGAAAGCAATGAAGATAGTGAGAGAGAAAACCAAATCTTGTATAATTTTCTTAACACAACACAGAGAATAAAGAACAATTTCCGGTGCCAATGTTCGCAAAGAGACAGTATCGCCCATTGACGAATCATAACACATTTTGCGCACGCGAAATACATGTGGTTGCTTATTCTATTTTTTTTGCGCGCGCGAGACTCAATTTAAAAAAAATGAAGAATAAATGTCGTGAAAGCTATTCAAAGTGGACAGTGTGAATAAATTGATTTATACGTTTTCTCCGCAAATTGTCGGTATGAATGGCGTCCTGTCAAATGATGCAAAATCATAATAATCTCGACCATTCATTGTCAAACACACGCTGTGTGTGTGTGAATGAATCAACCGTGAAGAAACAGAGAGTGACGCGCTTTCTTCTGCAAACATTTCGCCGATTTTTGTTTTCTTCTCTCATCGACTCTTTTTTGTCGTCGATTTTTTTCTCGTCGATTACGTATATTTATAAATATTGCGAATTTTGCATTTTGTACATAAATAATCGTGGCTAAGCACTTGCTTGTCTAGATTTTTATTTACATTTTATCTCGTGGCCAATTTTTTCGCACCAGAAAAAAAACCGCTTGAATCATCCAGCACGGAAAAAAACTCGTGTTACGCAATGGAAGAAAGAACGAAAAAAAACGATTTTGCACACGAGCATGAAATGGAGAAAGAGCTAATAAATTTCATATGACAAATAAAATGTGTCTCGGACAGATCGACTAAATTAAATTTAATGTTCCGAACAACTAGCAAAAACGTCGATCCCGTTTTTTTTTATTGTTAGTCGGATTCATTTCAGTTGGCGCAAAAAAATTCACATATAAGTGGCCGAAATAAACTTTGATCAATGGACAACCGGCGATGAATAATTCAGATGCGTTCCGATTTCAAAAGGGGAAGTGATTCACATTTTATCCCCTTGAAATAGGAAAAAAAAAGTTCTGTGTGAGATAGGCGACAATGGCTGGCAATTTGCAATGTTACTGATTTGGATATTTCATTGAAAATCCGAGTAAATATTTAACAAAAAATGAACATCAATACTGCGAATTCCGAATCAAATGCATACAACGAATAAAAAATTGCGAATGAATCGCAAAGTAAAATTTCATCAAACGATTCCTCGTGAAAAATTATACGATGACGATAAACGACAACCGAAGAAAAAACTGTACCTGAATGAAATATCAGATTGACAGAAGTAAGTTGTTGGTTGGTAAAAATACTCGCATCGCATTTTGCCTATTTTAAACTTTAAATAGTCCGCCTCAAAATGAAGTGCTTTTCTTTTGGTTCATGTCTTCGTTCATTCGATCTGTCAAAGTCGAAAATTTGTAATTGCAAACAATATCCAATGATTAACATATTTTATGCGGTCGAGACGTTGAATTGCCACTTTGGTAGATTTTTTGCTCACGATTAACCATTGCTTTATTAACCAATACAGAATTTCAGTTTACAGTTTTGCGAATGGAACTGATAAAAAGCGGAGAAAACTTTATTCACATTCCATCTTCTTGTATCTGTCTCTCTGTGCTTTTTTTCGCATCGAAGTTGAAAACTGTTTGTTGTTGGCATACTAAGTAAGACATCTCGATATATTTACTGGAGTGAGTAGAGCATTGAAACCGGATCCAACCAAATGAAAAAAGAATCGTATTTCGTTTGGCTAACGAGCCACGATTTCTTCTTCTTCTTTTTTTTTTTAAATCGTCCAGAGTTTTTTGCGAATGATGTGTAGCGCGAGGATACGCACTGTGTTTCATATACGACGAGCTCCAGCTCACGTACGCAATTGCGTGTCCGGGTATTTCCAAATGTTGTAAGAGTAAACGAAAACTGGTCGAAAAAAGAAAGCCAGTTTACACCTATTTGCATATGTTCCCGTTTGGCCGAACACACTTTGATTGTGAATAAATTTTTGCGTAAAATTTTGCGAGTCGAATGAACAAACGTGAAATGCAAAAAAGAGAGCCGACCATTTCTATGAAGTTACGATTCATTTGTCACGCGCCATTTGACATTCGGATCAACTATATTTAAATTGAACCGTAAAATAAAGTGACAGAAGTAGCAGTTTTGTTTATCTAAGGAATGTTGAATGCCCCAGAAAACGTGATTTTTATTACTTTAACCCGATATAAATACATCACAGTAACAACAACAATAGCCCACAGTGTGCAATTTAACGAGCAAAAAATTGAGTATCATATGAATTCACAAGCATATCATGTGATTTGCTTGTTTCTCCACACGCATTGAATTGGGATTGTTCTGTTTTTGGCCGCACCAAACGCATTCTTCTCTTTTGATGACGTCGAGAGCGAGAGAGGGAAAGAGCAAAGAGAAAAAAGGTACACATTGATAAGAGCGATCAACAGCCGGTTTAGCGCGCTACTGCCGCTATCTTGCGATACGGACAAATAGAACGATGTTCATACTTCATTTGCACACGTGCTTATCGAGTTTTTTTTCCGTTTGCGATGAAATGATGGAATGGATAACACATATCTTTGAAAAGATAGATATAGAGAAAAATGGATACAGCAACAAAGTATTGATGTTCAACTGCTGTGATAAGAAGAAGCCTTTGTGTCCATCGCTTTCAGTCAACGCCATCAACATTTTCGATTGAAAACTGTCAAAAACACGCGCAACCGGAAGTCGATCGCTTTTGTTTTTGATGAGGATGAATTCGCGTGACCATGTATCAAATGGAGAGCGATGAGATGTGTCGAAAAGATCGACTCGAATTTGGTTCGATGGCGATAAAAATGATGAAAAGGAGCTATGAAAATATAATCGGCTAGCCTCACACACAAAATCCCAGTGTTTTTTTTCTGCGAAATGAGGAAAAAAGACTCGACCACAAAAGATTTTAATGCTTTTGTCGAGGCCCACTTAACAGACCCGATTTAAAAAAAAACGACCCAGTAAAAAGAAATACATTTCATTCGGCAGCTCAAGGGAAATATTCGAATTGTATATGCAAATTGCTGAGTTTATTCTCGGTCGCAATCCATAATTCTATTCACGTGGAATGATTCTTTTCTACGGGGTACTGCTTGTGAATGGAGCAGGTTCCATATTTTCCACCGTAAAACAAAAGCATTTAAGATTCAAGCATATCAGCCAGTTAATTCTGACCGGATCGTTAGTCGTTTCGCATTACGTCGTTTCGTTATTTTTGTCAAAGGTTTTTTTTTCATTTCTTCTGTTCCGATATCACCACACACAGGTACACTTGTGTAAGCTTGTATGTAAATTTTTAATTGAGAAGCATCCAGTCGTTGTACAGAATGAGAGGAAAAAAAATGATATTTGTTTGTTTATCGTTCAGTCGCTCGCTTGCATTCGATGGCGTATGTTATTTTAATGTTCATTCTCGTTCTTTCATCCTCTTTCTCTCTCTTCATTACTCAAAATCGTGGCATTTTTCTACTGTGTATATTGACGAGATTATGAACGTTGTCACTGTAAAGCGTTGACTGTTCAAGGTTTTTCTTGTTTTTATTTTTAGCCTATTAAATATTTATGAACGAACAGAGTACGACCGACCGACCGACCGACCGACCGATTGAAAGAAGTACCAGCGACAGAGAAACATATGTGAGATATAGACAGATAGATGTGTCTTGTTGTACGATGTACAGTGTAAGCGCGATTGTGTGTGCGTGCGCGTTAGTGTTCGCAGATCGATCGCAAATAACAACGACGCAATGTACACAAACGCTCGCCAGCCCGTAATCACACTTTGGTTGCTTCTTTTTTCAAATACTACAATAGTGTAGTATTTTTTTTACTCTGTCTTCAATGGACAGTACACAACCGAAAGGTTTTTCGTTCGCTCCTATTATGAGAAAAATGGTTTCTACCCCGAATTGAATATTGTTGTGGAAATTCCATGTTGTCATCAACAGTTAACTATGCCAACGTATTTCCTATTGATTTATACATTTTTTTTCTCGATATATGAATGTGAAATTTTCGTAATTAAAATCTAAAATTCTAAAATTCTAAAAGTGGTTGCAGCCTGAATGTGAACGTAATTAAAACATCCAACTGGAATGTTGCTTGCATAAAATGGCTTTATCTCTTTCTCAAAACATTTAATTGGACATTTTAGATTGATTTCGCGACTGTATCAAAAGCAGATGTTGAATGAAGCCAAAGCAATCGCATGTACCTAAATTGGTTGATGATTTGAGAGAGTTTTTCAAACCGCATTTTTTGTTCGTGCTGATTTTGTTTTCGTCAAAGTCATTTTTCGCGTAAAACACATTCCGATGCGTCTGTCTCGATCCCGAAGAATCGAATTGTTGGCAAATAATTTTGGTGTGCCGGTATCAATTGGTCGTTTCGCGTCACCACACCCATTAATTCGTCGTGATTATTATGCTTTTTGAAAAATACTTGCTGAAAATTCTGTCTCGCAGTAAAATTGATTTGCGGAGAAAAATTACTCGGGTTTAACATGAGTGTGTGTGTGTGATAACAAGAACATTCGTTACACAAGACATAACCGCAATCAGCTCGCGAAAGACTGAAAAAAGCAGACTGTTTTGTTGTTAGCGATTCGTTACACGGATCGAACGCAATTATGCAAATGAATCAAAATCAGGTATTCGATGATTTCTTTTTCCATGGAGATGCGACGTTATTTCTAAAAATAAAAACCCTTTAAAGCGATTATACAATCCATTGAAAATGTATTTTTGAACACAACAAACACCACTCGTTCGCTCCCTTTTTCTCGTTCTCTCTACCTCATCATCACAACCGAACATTCATCGAATTCAATCAATATTACAGACAAAAATAAAGTAAAAGCAAACAAATCTGTATTGTAAGCCTATGTCAAGGATGAATAATTCAATGGAATTGGATTTTTTTTTATTATTCATTGCAGCTGAAAAAGGAGCAGGAATTGCAGAAGCAAATGCTTTGGCATACATTTCAGGAGAAAAACAAACAGTTGGAACTTCAGCATAAATGGCAACTCGAACATAAGTTTCAGGTAAGAATAAATTCAAAAGAAGGTAGAAAGAATAAAAATGAAATCAAAACGAAAGCATAAAGAAACAGCTTAATTGAAAATAGCATTTAGACCAAAATGAATCAATCCATGCATAATCACTTGCCAAGAAAATGAACCATGGAACGGAAGAAATATTCCATTTCTATCTTAAGCTGCTCTTTCTTCATTATGAAGTTAGAATAGCCATTTATTGTAAATTGATAATAAGCCGCTTAGGTCGATTGCAAGATCAGTAAACAATTTTCATAAAACGTTTTTTCCCCTTTGATATCTTGACAAACAAAATTGTTTGGATACAACCACCGACAATATTTAGATATCATTCTGGTTCGATTATTGATTTTACTATATTCCAAATTTCATTTCAAATTCAAACTTCATTCTTGAGCTGCATTCCTTTTCAAATTGGTCAAATTTCGATTAAGTTTTACTTTACCTCTTGCATCTTTGCCATTAAATATGTATGCTCATCGAGCGCTCTTGGACCATTCATTGTGCGAACTACTACGTTAATAATACAAAATTGCGTTCTAACTTATGCGTTTCTGTTTCTGTTTTGGTTTTCGTTTTTAGTTTATTTGTTCTTTATTTTTTGCTCTGCGTTGGTATTACTTTTTATTGCATTTTTTTTTGGTCCACTGGCACAAAACCGATATACCTCTTTCCAAAAACCGTTATTTATAGTCTGCGGCGTATTCAAATGGCGTATTGCAGGAATTGCATGAGCAACGTATAGCCGCTCTTGAGGAGCAACAACAACGCGAACAACGTGAACAACGAGAACAGCGTGAACAACGCGAACGACGCGAACGTGAGGCAATCGTTCGTCGGAAAGAGAATTCATCCAGTGCCAATGCTAGTCCAGAAGTTAAGCAAAAATTGCAAGTATGTATCATTCACACCATAATCTATTCAAACCATTGAATGAGAAGACATATTTCGAATAAATTACTCTCTTCTTTTGCAGTCATTTATCATCAGCAAGAAGCAAAATGCTTCATCAAATGGTCTTGCTTCTGCCGCGTCGCCATATCGAAATTGGTAAGCATTTGTTGAGCCATTTCATTTTTTTTTCAATCATTTCAAAACATTGAATTTTTAAATGGTTTTACTTGATGACGTGTGTCCATGTATATTTTCAGGGGTGTTGTCAAAAGTTCATCGGGCGAATCGTTACCAGCTGGTGTTCTGCCAAGCTCCCACCCATATAAAATACCTCAACAGCCGCCACCAACTATATCGAAATACGATCCCGATTTTCCACTGCGCAAAACAGGTAACGAAACGATTTCGATCGATCCATCGATCGGCCCTTTGATGCATGCGAAAATGAACACATGGCATTTGAGCAACCAAAAAAAAAATTATTTTCAATTGTTTTGATTGGAAATATAACAGACGTTAATAAAATGAATCAATAGCAAAACAAAATGCTCAAAGGCCTTGATGTTCTTCGGCTAATGATGTTTTTCGTTGAATAACTTTTGTTTGCAAACAAAAGTTTGGAAATGTGCAGCTTTTTTCCATAACGTTTGATATATTTGTGCTAAAAATTTTGACCGATTTTATTTCTCTTGTGTGCATTTAACACCAAAATTTATCTAACGAAAAACTAACTGTATCATTTGAAGATTGATGGATTTCATATAGAATTCAATAGTAATATAGTATAACAAATAAACAAAACTCACGTAAAAAAAATATCGAATGTATATTTCTTTGATTCGGCTGCAGCATCCGAGCCCAATTTATTGAAGATACGTTTGAAACAAAGTGTTATTGAGAGAAAAGCTCGCGCCGGATCATTGGCCGCACGACGACAAGAACGTTTGCTAATTGCTGCTCAACGTCGACTAAAGCAACATCAAAGCTCTCTAATTGGACCAAGTATGTATCACATCAGCTGCAATTTATACACATATTTTCGTTTGTCTTTGTTTGATTTGTCTACACCCTCGATGAGCTCAACACTGTTTAATCCGAAAACAATCACACACACCCAAGAAAAAAAACAATCTAACGATACGCTTTTAATGTATAACGTCTTTTTTTTTGCTGTAAATTTTTCGATATCGATATAACCATTATTATTTGCATGAGATGCTCAGAAATATGAGAGTGTGAAGTGATTTGTCGTTGTTTTTCTTTTGTAAATTGATAAAAGTCCGCCGCGATTCATTTTTCCGAAGCTTAAGATAGTAATAAAGATTTGATTCATCGTTTAGATTGTTCATCAACAGATTCAGGTCCGAATTCGCCGCCAACATTGACCGGAAGCCGTGGCTCACCCACCAGTGCGACGATTCAAGAGGAAAATGAGGATCCAAACTATCATGCTGGCCGAGATAGTATTAACGATTTGTCGTTGTATACATCACCAAGTATGCCTAATATCAGTCTGGGACGGCCGCATCTACCAAACGCACACAGTCACGCTTATGTAAGTGAATCGATTGCGGGACAGTTTGATTTTAATCGAAATGAATGTGAAGAATGAAATTGACATACTTTTCTATCGTCTTTCCAAAAAAAAAACAGGGAATTCATTCAATTCTACGAACACCGTCGCAAACAATGCTAGCCCCACCGGGAGCACCGTATTTTATTCCGACCATGGAACATGGTGATGTACCGCCAGCCCACAGTGGAATTCACTTGGCCCAAATGGCGGGTTTGCATCCGATTCCAATGTACAGCCAACCAATCACCGATGCTCAAGTTGCACTCGCTCGCTTGCATAAGCAAGGCCATCGGCCATTGGGTCGAACTCAATCAGCTCCACTTCCACTTGGCCATCCGATGCTAACGGGTGCTGCTGCCCTGAACATTGCTCAAACACACTATGAAAACAGTGAGGCTGAACGACAGGCATACGAACAACAACACTTGCAATTGACACAAAAGATCCGGCAAACGGTGTTAACGCGAAGCGGACGCGCCGAATCGTTCAAAGAAGAAGAAGATGCTGTCATCGATTTAACCGATAAAAAGCAACCACCGAAACCTATACCAACAAGCACCGTGATTTCGTCTACTCTCAATCCACCGCCGGCCATATCGCCCGAAGAACGATTACGTGATCAGGAATATTTGCAGCAACAACGTGAGATACTCATCCGTCAATCGATGCAGGTAAATGCTTTTCGTGGCCGTCATTCAATTTACTTTCACTTTTTTGTGCTAGTTTTTAATTTCATTTGATAACACATCATTGCGTTCTACTAACATCTCGTGTTTTCATTTGAATATTGTGTAATAATACGATTTTAGTTGTCTGTTGACGATCCATTCTTGATGCGGAATCTCAGTCGACCTTTATCTCGAACGTTATCGAGTCCTTTGGTACCGCTTGGACAACCAAATCTTTGCGGCATTCGTGATACCGGCCAATCGTTATCGCTCGACAATCCAATCAATTTGACACATCGACGCCACATTACGGAGAACGAACACAAAATCACAACCGGTCTTGCATTTGACAACACAATGCTGAAGCATTCGTGCATTTGTGGAAATAATTCATCGCATCCCGAGCACAGTGGTCGGCTGCAAAGTGTATGGGCTCGGCTGGGTGAAACTGGATTGGCGAATCGATGCGATCGTTTGCGATCACGCAAAGCCACACTCGATGAAATTCAAACGGTGCACACGGAAAACCATGCCATGCTATTCGGTTCGAATCAATTGAATCGCCAAAAAATGGAATCATCACGAACGAGTTTTGTGCGGCTCGCATGCGGTGGTGTTGGTGTCGATTTGGACACCACATGGAATGAGAACTATACCAGTGCGGCTGCAAAAATGGCAGCTGGATGTGTTATCGATTTGGCATTTAAAACAGCGAAACGTGACATTGAAAATGGTTTTGCCGTCGTTCGCCCACCAGGTATGCACCGAAAATAGCCAACATTCTAAACATAGTCACAAAAATGTGTCTCAATAATTAATTTCTTATCTTTTTTTCTCGCTTGAATTAGGTCATCATGCTGAGCCAGATTTAGCCATGGGATTCTGTTTCTTCAACTCTGTTGCAATTGCTGCGAAATTGTTGCGTCAGCGTTTGCCAAATGAAATTGGAAAAGTTCTGATCGTCGTAAGTAAATTTGAAAATAACAAATCATCATGTTGGGAGTGTGAGCTCCGTAATGAAAAATATCCTCCGTAAATTTCGCTGATTCTTAATTTATTATATTTCTGGGCAGGATTGGGATGTACATCATGGTAATGGTACGCAGCAAGTATTCTACGAGGACAATAGCGTTTTGTATTTATCAATACATCGACACGATGATGGAAACTTCTTTCCGGGCACTGGTGGTCCAACTGAATGCGGTGCTGGAATCGGTGTTGGATTCAATGTTAATGTCGCATGGTCGGGTGGGTTGAATCCAGCGTTGGGCGATGCCGAATACTTGGCCGCGTTTAGAACGGTTGTAATGCCAATTGCTCGTGAATTTGCACCCGATATCATTCTCGTTTCGGCCGGGTTTGATGCTGCCATCGGTCATCCACCACCATTGGGCGGTTATGTGGTGTCACCAGCTTGTTTCGGTCATTTAGCACGTGAATTGATGCAATTGGCTGATGGTAAAATCGTTCTGGCCCTTGAAGGTGGTTATGATTTGACCGCAATTTGTGATTCAGCCCAAGAGTGCGTGAAGGCTTTACTTGGCGACGAACCATCACCCATACCTGAAGTTGAGCTATCGCGTGCACCGTGTCAAAATGCAATCGACACACTGCAGAAAACTATTGCTATTCAGGTAAAACCCAAATTGAATTGATTGATTTGTTTTGTTTTTTGAAAATGGAATCGAATTCCAAAATAAACCTTTCCTCTCTCAAAAGGCATAACGCATATTTTTGTATTGGCTTTTGTATCAATACACCACAAAATACACGACTCCAATTTTGTTCATTTGCAGATGTCACATTGGCCATGCGTAAAACGTTTGGCCCACACCGTTGGAATGTCAGCTATTCAAGCACTGAAATGTGAACGAGAGGAATCAGAAACGTTAACCGCAATGGCTGGTCTCTCAATGCAGCCACCAGCGAATCGGTAAGACCATACCCGGTTAAAACGTTCTGAAATTTTTATTAATTGCAAACTTTTTCCCATGGCAGTGGTTCGCTTTCGCGTGAAGAATCTGATGAACCGATGGAACAAGACGACGCAAAATGAATGAAAAAAAAGCATCGACGAAAAATTGATAATTGCGCAAATTGCGATAACAAACGAAAATTGAAAGAATGAAAAAAAAAAACAAAAATTCTCATACCTGCTGGACATGTTTTGATTTGGAAATGTGTAAATGATGTTGAGTTTATATTAGAGATCGAGGAATTAATGCATACAACTATTTTGAATATAGAATAATTGTGATTTTAAATGTATGTTCTTAACAATTAACGTGATTAAGTTTTAAATAAGAGAGACAGGCGGTGCAAGAGGCACACAGCTGAAGAGAATTAGATGAAATGAGAATGTGTGTGAGTAGGGGAGGGGGGGGGGGGTAGCAAAGAATGAAGCGTGTGACATTTTGAAATGTATGTGCTATGCACATAATTTATGGTCGCCGGAGTTAGGAACAGCAAAAAAACGATAATTTCTACATAAATGCAGGGACACAAAAGACGCAAGACTAAGTTTGCCTAATAAAAGACGAAGCAATCCGCACTTTATCATCTCGATAACGTAGTGTATGATTTGAACTGGCATTCCGACCCAAATGAAATCCATTCGATTGAAAACAAAGAGAAAGAAGAGAAAAAACAACAACGGAAAACGAGCAAATTATTTAAAAAATGAACTGGTTTCATTTGGCAGGTGAAGCCATTGTGTGGTGTGGTTTATCGGGCAAATAGTTTCTTGTGTTTTTTCTATTTATATTTTATTAAAATGACAAACCGAATTAAAGTGAAAACCGCACTCACACACACACACACACACACACACACGATTCAACCAATTGTATATAATATATATTTATTGTGCAAAAAAAAGAGAGTATAAAACACTAATGTTTATGTATAAAATACAATTATCCGCTTGAGAAACAATATGATGAGCCCATTTGTTGGTGCACCTGCAAAAATGTTATGTGCTTTATGGATATAGCCACAATCACACGTTCGTCAGAACATAAACTCTTAATGATGTGAATGATAAATATCACACTTAAACACACAGAGAGAGTCACACGACTTATTGATAGCTGATGTTGTTTATATTTCACACCTATCCCACTACTACCTCCTTCGTGAGAGTACGCTGGGAATGGTCATGTTTGGCGCATATTTTTGAGAAATGGAATTTCTCTGAATGTTGATTTTGTTCATCGTAACGGTATTTGTGGTTTTTAACACATTTTGCACAATTTTTCTTTTCATTTCAAAGAAGCAACGCGAAATGAATATTGCATGAGCAAAATAATAACACGGCTTCGCACTCAAATCGACGAATTTAAAATACTTAAAACTGAAAAAAGTGACATTTGTCACAAAATAAATTTATCGTATCCGTTGTTTAATAACCACGAAAAAAAAAATTAATCACAAGCAAGAGAGACAAAAAAACGACACTTTAATCGTTTGCATATATAATAATCAGGTGATGCATACAAATTGCTCAGCCGCAATTCAACGAATTTCCATATGTTTCTTGTTTTTTTTTAAATCATGCGATTGCATCACATCCGATTCATGGAACGATAAGGATTCAAATACACCTCCCATTCTGCGAAACCAATTTTCCTTCCTCACTCTCTCGATCAACTTTGTATCAATCGATTGAGAAAGAGAAAAAAAATGTAATAGAAAAATTTCATTCAAAACTATTTTTTTTCCTTGATCCATATCAATATAATGTATTCGCATTGGGCAGAAATCTAAATGAAGCGAAAAAAATATAACAATAACATCACTGAAAAGAGAAATCCAATTTAACACTTAAAATCGTATAAAATATTCATAACGATATATATAGAGAGAAAATGAACTAATTTGAGTGACCTTAATGTGCAAAAACCAACGAATAAAAATTATTTAATTATACAGAGACCGAGTGTCAGTGCTGTTTCTGTGACTCACACAGGATCAATTGCACTGGCCAACTCTTTTTATAACAACAACAAAATGGATCTAGCAAAAAAAAGAAGAGTTTTTAATCGAATTAACAAATAAAAATGTCGAGAGTTTCAAATTCGACAGAAGCCGGAGAAAACTAGCAAACGACGAAGAATTTTAAATGTCAATTGTTGTCTAAAATAAAACTAAATGAATGTAATGTGTGTACTTTCAGCAGAAGCAGAAGAGGAAGAACCAATCTAGATTGAGCAAATTAGTCACGGTTTTAGTGAGGACACAAAAGTGCACACAGAATTTGTTATCCATAATAAAAATGTCTGGGGTTTTCTTCCGTTCATGATTGAATGCGAAACTGTAGTATTTTTATTGACACGGCGACCTAAATTATAAATATTGTGTCATTAAATAAATGTATAAATAATTAGTTAAAATGATTTTGAGAAAATGAAAAAAAAAGGAAAAATTGAATTAGATGAACAAAAAAAGGATAGAGAAAATTGTTTCAAATATTTGTTGATATGTGTCTCGTGGCGTTGACTGAACAATTCTCAACAATGAGATGCATCAAATTTTTAAGTGCTGGTCACTAACATAGATAGACAATTTATCGGCGAAGAATAAGTCACATACACACGCAGCAGAATTTCAATCAATTCGCTTGAAAACACATACCGAAAAACAAATAAACTTAGACAAGAGATTTGTTTCGATGTTATTTGTGGTGGAAATATTGTATTGATATTGTTCTAGATTTGTATCACACATACACAAAGCAAAACCACATGCATTAACACTCATTACTCACACTCAACAAGACAGAGAAAACAAGCAAACCCATATTCAATGAGACGAAGAGAAAAAAGAACGAGGAAAATCATTATACCAAAATGAAACGATGAAATTTAGTGTAAATCTTGTTTTAATATTTTTCGATATGCTTACACACAAACAAAAACAAAAAACACAACAAAAAATAATGATAACATGAAAAATTCTATGATGAGATAATACTTTAATCGACAGGTGCAGCTTTTAAGAATCGTTTTACCTAAATTAAAATGAAGATAAAAACAATGACGAAGATGAAAGATAAATGGATAAAACAATGAGGATATACAAATATTTAGATATCAAGAACACATTTTGGTGAAAAAGAACAACAAAATAGACAAATTGAGTGGTTTCATTGAGTCGAACAGGAAACGTACGACCCGACATACACATATTACGTATAAAAAACAAACAAATTGATGATGGTGTTTTACCACCACATGAACATTTTAGATATTTATTAATTGTGAAATTGATGTTAATTATTGGTGTTGACGCGTGGATAACAAAAAATCCGATACAGAATCCAATCAGGATGTGTGTGCTAATACCGTTTTTTGTAAGTGTGGACATTTGTGTGTCAAGCCAACCAATCAAACAGCCGAATACCTTTGAATGAATAGCACACACTTTATGAACGGTGAACAAATAGCTAATGTTTTTGGCAAAGTGCAAACCTGTTTTCGGGATGATGTTGGCACGTACATCGAAGAGCGAACGATATGTGTGCGTGTATTTTCTTGATGATATGTCCAAACTTGTCGAATGGATCGAAAATTGTATGGCAAAAGTTTTCACGAGATATTTAAACAGATGGTGGCATACTAAATGCAAACTAATTTATCAATTGTCATCAAAAAGAACCAGACACAATCGATTGTGTGTGTGTGTGTTTTTGATGGCGTGTGCTCAGTCGAATTTTATATGTAAATCATCTCTTCTTCTTATATTTATTTCCTTACTATCTCAATTTTTGTGAACTCTTTTTTTTGCCTACTCTAAACGCACACATTACAACAATAGACAAATCAATCTATCTGTGTTCCACTTTGTTCGTTTATCATAACTATTGTTCTTATGGTATTGTTGTTGTCTTTTTTTTTCTTCTTCTCGTAATCCTCTTACTCAACCATTTGATGGAATCAACAACATGACCACATCATTTATTTAAAATCATTTCATTTTCTTTGGTTTATGTTCAAACTCCAAAACACTCGAATCGATGCCATTTCGCATCGTTTTTTTTTTTAATTAGGCACAGCTGAATATCATGGCGACACATGAAGAAAAAAATTGTAAAACACTGAAATTTGTCTCTCTTTTTTTAAGAGAAGAATAATAAAATCACACACACACACACATACACCCAATACATTCCATTAATCTGTATGACAAATTGTGTTTAGTTTTTAAGTTTCTAATTTAAATAGTAATTTTATTTTTCAATATGAAAACCAATGTTATAAAGAATTTAAAAAAATCTATTTACGTACAAACAATTTTTTTTTGAAATTTGATGATTAAGAAATGTTAATTCACGATATAAAAAAAAAACAGAAAAATAATTTCATCCATCGAAACAACGGTGGAATGCATGAAATATGTGAGAAAGAGAAAAAGAAAAATGAAAAGTATATTATCTATGGAGAAAAAAAAACATGAAATTGAAAATAAAACTGATTGTTGTTTTGTATATGAAAAAAACGGTTGTTTATTCATCAATTTTGTCCAAGTTTTCCTTGGATTGTTACTTTTCCGCACGCCCATGTCGTGTGTAAAAGTATTGTAATCACTTCAAAACCTAGGTACCCCGAAAAACCATTTTTCTATCCATTTTCGAAACCAAAAAGCACGATACAGTGGTTATTTTGCTATGTTAATGTGGGTGTGTCGTACCCTGTACGCTGTACGCAAATTTTTTTTTAGCGCGATTGCTCAAACACCAGAATAGGAAATGAAATTCTGCAAGTACCAAACGTTTGTGCTTCGTTAGACTTGAAAACCATTAAATTTTCAGCCACCCCAGATGTACCCTAGGATACCTAGCCTATGAAAAACCTTCAAAAAATCGAACTTTTGTTCGGGAGGTACCCAAAATAGGCTCCCAGGTGGGTTTTATCATGCCCACCCGATTTATTTCATCAAAATAATAGGGGCCCCGGAACAACCTAGCACCCGCTAACCCACCTTTTTGGTATTAAATCGGTATGTTAGTTCAAAATTCCTTGAAAAATCGAACTTTTGTTCGGAAGGTACCCAAAATAGGCTCCCCAGGTGAATTTCATCACTCCCACTCGATTTATTTGATCAAATTAATAAGGGCCCAGGAAGAACCTAGCACCTGCTAACCTACCTTTTTCGTATCAAATCGGTATAATAATTCAAAATTTCTTGCATTTTTTGTTCTTTATTATGTTAAAAATCGCGCTTTTGTATGAGAGTTTCAAATCACTCCTTCGCTCATTCATGTTGTTCTATGGATTCAAAGGGCTGCCATATACAAAATACAATGTAAAAGAAAGACGCGTTATGATTTTGGTCAAGAAAAATGTGGTTTGTTTTTAAATGGTATTTTTTTCAACTCGTCACATTTTGTTCCATTTTTTTCAGTATTCAGACGACAATAAAGACAATCAGACGTTTTATTTCATTTGAATATGAAATCATCATCAAGATTTTCGGAATCATAATGCAATTTTCCATAAAATACATGAACGTACTGTTGTTTTTTTCTGAAAATTCTTATAAATTTCCTAGGCTAAATCTGAATAAAAGCTGAACGCTATGAAAATGGTGCGGAAAAGTTCGTCTTACGGAGGTAAGACTATTTATTTCTAAATTATTTCAGCTACTTATCCTATTTTCAGATTTTTTTCTCAGCTGAAATGAAATCAAACAAAAGGATTTTCATTTTATGATTCCTTGATACAATTTATTTGTTTTTTTTTTATTATTCACAAATCGATAATAAATTAATTGATCTCATAACTGTCTACTTCGGACAACAAATTCGTTGATAAGACTGAAATTATGTTCCGCATGTTTTAACAATATGTTTTAAATATACATTTTTTCGTCATGAAATGATTTTACTTGTCACATGTCTTGTTTTTATTCTACACACACACAGTTGAGACTTCGTG